ACCTATAAAGGGGTTCCAAGGAGTGGCTAGTGAGTTTGAACTTCTGATCTTGGAGTTTAGACCAACTTTGCAGTCCAGTGCATTATCCTGCAGTGCTGCTCCAGAACTCCAAGACTAAGGTTAAGGCTAGAAGAGGCATATTAAACAATTCACTGTACCATACTCTTATTTATTATATGTTCACATTATGGAATCAGAATAGCATAATATGGGTTTTCTTTTTCCCAGGATTGATCTTTTCAAATGGCCAGGAATGGAAGGAGCAAAGAAGATTTGTCCTGACAACACTAAGAAATTTTGGTTTAGGAAAGAAGAGCTTAGAAGAACGGATTCAGGAGGAGGCCTACTACCTCAGTGAGGCAATAGAGGAGATGAAAGGTGAGACTTTAATAGGACAAGGGCTAGAGTTTATGGATCATTCATTCATTGAACAGATACTTCACTGTCTACATTCCTTTCGTATGCATGGCACTGTGCTAGACACTAAAGCTGTAAGAGTGAACAAATAACCATGTCTCTTATCCTCGCAGAATTCATTGCAAGGGGACAGGCATTAAACATATTACTGAATTTAAATCCTAGCCAGAAATTTGACTCCACAAGCATTGTTTGAGTGCTTGCTATATATATAGCAGATCCTGTGCAGGGCATTGTGGCTAGCGTTTCATGTATGTTATATTATGTAAAGTAGTGTTTCCTTAGACAACAGAAACAAACCAATCTGAAGGCTCCATCTCTTCCTCACTGCTCCAGGGCAGCCTTTTGACCCTCACTTCAAGATCAACAATGCTGTTTCTAATATCATATGCTCCATTACCTTTGGGGAGCGCTTTGAATACAAGGATGATCAGTTTCAGGAGCTGCTGAAGTTGGTGGATGAAGTCACATATCTGGAAGCTACAAAGTGGTGCCAGGTCAGTAAAAGTCTTTTCTAAATTTAACGAAAAGCCATCAAATGAGTGAGTGTAAGGAGTGAAACAATTGGATTAAACTGTTAATCACTGGCAACCCTATAGGAAATAGACTAGGACTGGGATTAATATTAGAATCAGTAAAACTGTTTGAGACTGTTCTAGCATCCAGGTAAGATCTAATGGCAGTTTGCACTAAGTAATGTGAACCGAGGCAAGCACTTGGAGTGCTGAAAAGTGGTTTGAGGCCAGACATATTTTGGATGTTGCCGTTGTTAGGTACCATCGAGTCAGTAACCACTCATAGTGATCCTGTACACAACTGAATGAAACACTGTCAGCTCCTGGAACAAACTTACAAGTGTTGCTATTTTGAGCCAACTGATACTGCCACTGTGCCAATCCATCTCATTGGGGGTGTTCCTTTTTCAGAGTGATAAGAGAAAAAGAGAAGTTCAGAATGACTTCAAGGTTTAAGTGTAAGCAAATAAAAGACAGAGAGATGAAAGGGAAGATTGTTTTTTGTTGTCTTAAAAATGCTGTCTCCATGACTGTTTTGTTTTTTTTCAACTAGGTTTACAATATGATTCCATCGATAATGAAATACCTTCCTGGACCTCACCAAAAACTCTTTGCAGGTTGGGAGAAACTGAAATTGTTTGTTTCTCATATGATTGAAAAACACAGGACAGATTGGGATCCTGCCAAACCGAGAGACTTTATTGACGCTTACCTCAAGGAAATGACAAAGGTGAGAAACTCAGAGCTGTTTCCTAAGCTTTGTTTTTTTTATAGCAAATGGGAGTGTACTTGTTTCCTGTTGTTTTCTATATTTCGTTGTCTGCTGTAATAAATTATTATAAATGTGGTGGCTTAAAACAACATAACCACATTCTCTTCTAGCTCTGAAGGTCAAATGTCTAAAATCACTTTCACTAGACAAAACTTCAAGGGTCAGTAGAGCTAGCTCCTTCTAGATGTTCTGGGAAGGTTTTGTTACCTTGCTTTTCCAGCTTTTAGAAACAACCTTCATTCCTGGATTCATTTCCCTTACTTCAACGTCAACAGCATAGCTTCTTCTCTGACCTTTGACTTCTGCTTCCTTCTGACCTTTTTCATCACTCTTGTACCGCTGTCCATTGTAACTTTGGACCTATGTGGGTAATTTAGTATACTAGCCTCATCTGTCTTTTCTCTAATCCCAAACTCATTGCCTTTGAGTGGACCCCCACTCATAGTGACCCTTTAGGACAGAGTAACATTGCTTCACAGATTTCCAAGACTGCAATCTTTACAGAAGCAGACTGCCACATCTTTCTCCTGCGGAGCTGATGGTGGGTTTGAACTTCCAGCCTTTTGGTTAGAAGTCTAGCACTTAAACACTATACCTCCAGGGCTCCTTCCCCTTTCTAAATGGCAACAGAGTCACAAAGTATGGTGCTGTAGGATCAGCACTGCATTGCAAATCACAAGGTTGTCAGTTCAAATCTACCAGGTGTTCCTTGGAAATCCTACACAGGATGCTATGAGTCTGAACTGACTCAATGACATCTTTGAAATTCATTATGCAGCCTACCACAGAGGAGTAAAAACAGGGGCACAGGTAGCGTAGTGGTTATGAGTCGGGCTGTGAACCACAAGGTCAACAGTTCGAAATTACCAGCTGCTCCACAGGAGAAAGATAAGGCTTTCTGCTCCCATAAAGATTTACAGCCTTGGAAACCCTGTACAGAGTCGCTATGAGTCAGAGCCAACTCCACGACACATAACAACAACAACAATTACAAGCGTATTGAAGGAGTCTTGCTTTTGCAGTGGGTTAAGCATTAAGTTGCTAAACTGCTAACAGTTACACTGGCAGTTTAGAACCACCAGCCAGCCACTCCTCAGGAGGAAAATGAGGCAGTCTGCTCCCAAAAAGATTGACAGTCTCTGAAATCCTAAAGATCAGTTGTTCCTTGTCCTGTAGGATTGCTGAATCAGAAGCAACTCAACAGCAGTGAGTTTATTACAGAGTATAGAAGTAGCACTAACTCAGGATTGATGATGCAATTAGAAATAAAGATAGGGGTCTAATAATAATTGTCTTCAGGTGATAGGAATACCTAAATCTGCCCTACCCCTACCCTCTACCCATATCTAAAGGAGCTGTACACAAAAGGAAATAAGAAATTGTGAATGAAAGCACTGCTTTAGTAATAGATGGGCTGTGCCCAATTATCTGTGAAGCCCTAGTACCACAATGCTTAAGCACTTGGCTGGTAACTAAAAAGTCAGAGGTTTAGACTCACCAGCAGCTCCTCAGGAGAAAACTGTGGTAGTCTGCTTCCATAGAGACTAAGGTCTTGGAAACCCTATGAAGCATTTCTACTCTGCCATTTAGGATCACTCTGAGTCAGAACCAATTCTGCAGCAATGGGCTCGGTTTTTTGGTGCTGAATTACATATTTCTATCAGTCCCCGTATCAGAGCACAATTGAAGTTGAATTGGACTTCATAGTTTAGTCCCAGGGCCTAGGTCAGACTTTTTCTTCCACCTAGCAGTTTGAACCTACCAGGTACTCTGCAGGAGAAACATGAGGCTTTCTGCTCCCGTAAAGGTTTACAGCCTGTTGAGGGTTGCTGTGGGTCGGAACCAATGCGACGCCACTTAACAACAACAACAACAACCAACACCTATATCATCTACTTAACTTTATAGAAAAGAAGCAGGAAGAAGGCCAAATTAGAGATACAGCTTTGGGCACTTAATGTATATGCCACTGAATCAGTGCTTTGATTTTTTCGGACTTCATATTAATGGTTGCTCTTCTGGGAGTGGACAGATGAGTAGATTTCCTTCCATCTCCTGCTTTATCTCTCACCTTCTTGGCATAGCATTAACAGAGACTTTTTCTTTTTTCTTAAAGAAAGAGACTACTAATCAGTGTTCAGGTATGGGACTACACATTAAGAGAAATGTCGACAAATGGAATGATCGAGAGGGAGATGATAGCATCATGAGGAATGGTTGATGGAATTAGAGAAGTTCCCTTAGAAAGAAAAGAAGCTTGGGGAGATATGAGAATTATTGTATAAAAGGGGAGTTGAGTTGACGTTTTCTGATAACAGTAAAACACATGTTGATTGTTTGCTGCGTTCCTGTTGCATCCTAGGCAATGGACATGACTTCAGAAGTTCTGTCCATTTTACAGAACAGGAAACAAGCACTGAGGATTAAGTAGACTGGCCTAAATCAGACAGCTAGTGAGGATGTGGCTGGTATTGGAACTCAAGTCTGTCTTTTTCACCTTTCATTCTTTCTCAACTATACTAATACTTCCTTCCCATATTATTTGTTGTTGTTGTTAAGTGCCATCCAACTCATAGTGACCCTCTAGGGTTTCTGAAGAACGGCTGGTGGGTTTGTACCACTGACCTTGTGGTTCAAACCGACCTTGAGGTCCAGTGCTTTATCTTACAGGGCCACACCAAGACTCCTCCCAAATTATAGGCGCAATAAAATAATTATATTGATTTTCATCTGCTGACATGCTAGAAAGTCCTAGATAACTTCAAGCATTTGGAACAGGATGATGCTAATGATAGTGCCACAATATCCTATGTCTCCTGAAGAAACCCAAGAGAAGATCATTTCTCCTAAAGACCTTTCTTTGCAAATTCCTTTCTCAGATGACATAACCCTGTGTTTTGTGCTAACTATGAATTCTCTGAAGAAATCGATAAACCTTGTTCTTTCTAGTATACAGGCAATACCACTTCAAGTTTCCATGAAGAAAACCTCGTCTGCAGCACCCTGGACCTCTTCTTTGCTGGAACAGAGACAACTTCTACAACTCTGCGCTGGGCTCTGCTTTATCTGACCATGTACCCAGAAATCCAAGGTGAGCATGTGGTTGAATGTGAATGTTGTTGTTGTAAGGTGCCATCGAGTCAGAACTGACTCATAGCGACCCCATGCACAGCAGAACGAAACAATGTCCGATCCTGAGCCAACCTCACTACCACTGCCACACTTGAGTCCATCAATGCTGCCACCTGGCCAGTCCAGCTTGTTGGGGGTCTTCCTCTTTTTCTTTGGCCCTCCACCTTACCCA